TTGTTGTACTTAAGTGCCCGTGCTTAATTTGTGTTACGATGATTTACCTTCAAAAAAAAATCTGGCCACGTCTCGCACCCCCAGAGAGGGCATCTCGCGCCCCCAGGTTCAGAACCGCTGGCCTAGAACTCACACAGATGGAATTTACAAAGCGAATACCGCACCCAGTCCCAACACGTATGTCAAAACCGTTGGGGGGGGGGGGGGGGGTGTGGGGTTTGACTCGACCCATCATCCCTCCGGGGTGGCTAAATTAGTAACCGCTTCGTGGGCAAGTCAAGAGTGGCGGCTGTCGTCCTACGGGGGGGACAGCCTCGCCATAGGAACGTTGCATTTCCACCACCGAAGCCAGGGTTGTAAAAAAACTAAAAAAGTGGACGACTTGCCACCGCTTGTTGATTCGAGCAAGGCATCATCTCCATCGTAGAGAGGGTTTTTGTGGGTTAGATCGCGTGAATATGGATGTGTCTTCTTGGTTCTTTCGGTAAAGTCACGTAGAAGGGAAATAATAAAGTAATAAAAAGAAAACATAATAAAATACAATGATGAGAGAGAGAGAGAGACACTGCAAACTCCAAATATACAGCAGCAGACGTCAGGGTCGGGATCGAATCTACGACCTCCTGCACACTAGGCGAGGTAGTTAACATCTCCTAGCCACCGTGATGATGATGAGAGAGAGAGACACTGCAAACTCCAAATATACAGCAGACGTCAGGGTCGGGATCGAACGCACGGCGGGGGGGAGACGGCCCAGGAGGGGTGGTTGGGGGTGGCCCTCATGGTGGCTACGGCGTTGTGCGTGCGTGCGGAGTGCCGCGTACCGAACCGAACGCCGGTGTCTGTCGGCGTTCACGCTCGGCTGGGTCCGCTCGCTGTAGTGGCGGATCGCGGTCGCAGTTCAACAAATAAAATATAACCACCCCCCCCCTCCCGCCCAGCCCACCCCTACCCGCCGACACTATTAGCATGAGAAAGGGACGTACATGATTTTGCTGCGCTTGCAACAGACATGAAGTCATCACTCTGTCCCGAGTGCTGCTGGGGATCGTGCCGTTGATGGGTTGGGATGGGGTGTCGGGATTGTGGTGGTGTGGCTGGGGGGGGGGGGGGGGTGGCGGGGGGGGCTGTGGTTGGGATGAGGAGGGGAGGGGCTTTGGTTGGGTGAATTCTTCAAGAAAGTTGGAGTGGATACTATGTGCTTTTGGTGGCGTGGTGGTGGCGATCGTGGTGGCGTTATGTTGGTGGTGGCAGCATTCTGGTGGCGGTGGTGGTTTTGGTGGTGGTGCTGGTGGTGGTGTTGCTGGTGGTTGTGGTGGCGGTTGTTGATTGTGGTGTTGGTGGTGGTGGTGCCGGTGTTGGTGGTGGTGTTGATGGTGGTGTTGCTAGTGGTTGTGATGGCGGTTATTGTTGGTGGTGTTTGTGGTGTTGGTGGTGGCGGTGTTGGTGGTGTTGCTGGTGGTGGTGTTGCTGGTGGTTGTGGTGGCGGTCGGTGGTTTGTGCTGGTGGTGATGTTAGTGGTGGTGTTTGTGGTGGTAGTTGTTGTTGGTGGTGGCGTTGGCTGTGTTTGTGGCGGTGTTCTGAATCAGAATATTTATTTAAACTGCGGGAGGAATTTGATGAGCTCATTAAGTTATTTTTCACAGATGTCCCGTATGGGCAGGTCAGCAAAAGCAAATGGTTGTTGTTGTTAGACGTTACCGCGGGGTTTTGCTGGTGTCGTAAGGCAGCATTCGCGATGCACGCGGTGACTTTAATTCGCTCTCGCTCATGCCCGTTTGTTTAGCTGTGGACGTCGGGCGATCCGTATTTAATTATTCAGCCGTGCAGTCCTCTCGTCGAGAAGATGCGGCGGCTCTTGGTGGACCTGGACAATTTTTCTTTCGCCGACGGTAGCGGCGCTGTTGAGGCTTCGCGAAAATTCGGGGGAAAAAAAATGTTGAATAAAATAAAAAATAAAAATGAATATATATCACAGCCCTGGGCTCGGATGTACAATTACGTCGTTCGAACGTTTTTGCATTAGCCGGGGAGCGCCACGAGCAAATGAAACGTTGTAAGCCGGTCGGGTGGTTCGGCGTTAGGGCGACCCGCTCGCCCATTGGAAGTTCGTGGTTGGGGGGGCCAGGCAGGCGGGGGGGGGGGGGGTAACTCAGCCCATCATCCCTCCATCGTAGGCACGGCACGGGGGAAGGGGCGATAAAATTTGCTTCGAATGCCCCCCCCTCCGCGAGAACTCGACGGTGGTAGGAATTTCAGAGCGGTGTCGCCGTTACGGCGCTCCCACCACCAAGACTCGCTCCGGCCAAACTGGGATGGCTTATCCACAATAAAGGTTTTTTTGGGTCAGGTCGCGTGAGCATTAACGCGTCGTCGTTAACTCTCCACCGCCCGAGAAAAGCCAGCGAGGTTAGTCGCGCAAACAAGACGCGCCAATTAGTTACTGCTTGGGCCCACCGGTGGTGTGTTGGAGAGTAAATCCACAGCATTTAGAATTTGAGCACAGCGACGTTTCGCTGGTAATTGTCGTGAGTAATATTGGTCGCGGAAGCCTATGCGTTCAAGTGATTGTTCACAACGCGTAGAAACGGCCCGCGTCGGTTACTGTTGCTGTTTGACCATACTTCACCACACTGGTCAGCGGTCTGGGCTGCTAAAGGGAGAGGAGGGAGGGTGTGGGTGGGTGGAGGCACAAGATGGGATATCACTCGGGGCTGCTGTCAAGCCCTGGCGTGGAATAGAACTCGGGTTTGTTGGCGCTCGGAGCGTGGGGCAGTAACTACTGATGTTGTTCCATGGATCGGCTCGCCCCCCTCCCGCCATAGAAACAAGGAATTTCCACTGTTGGCTCAGGGGAGATGTGAACCGGAGGTGAGCACCATTGTGATTTCAGCAGGAAAACCACGGTAAAATGATTGAATATCATTAATTTATTTGTAATTTACCTTTTTTTATGCGGGGAGCATCGCCTCCATTTTTGTAGGTGTGTGCGTGTGTGCGCGTGTGCGTGCGCGTGTGTGTGTGTGCGTGTACGTGTGTGTGTGTGTGCGCGTATTTGCTCAAAGAAAATACCACCGAGATAGTTTTGGGAAAATGGGCCGAGTACTCGATATTTCTCACTTGCCGACATTTTCTCACGAGTGCCCTCGGAACGATTGTTTAAGGGCGTTTCATGAAAGTCTAATTATTGTTGTATTTGCCCAGAGTTCTTGTAAACTTTGCAACGTTTGAATTCGTGAAACCACAACTCTGCATCTGTTATTGCACCTTCGCAATGGTGCTGTTTGTTGCCGGCCGTTTGGCAGAACAACAACGACGACGACAAGTAATGGAATCCCGCGACAAAATGTACGGACGACATTGTTTCCGTTCGAGTCGTCTACTCACATTTGTCCGAAGCGGAATTAGAAAGGTGACCAGCGCCCGTTAATGTCCTTGCCAAACGACGTGAATGCGATTAAAAACCACCGATTCATTTCGCCGTCGTCGTCGGTTCGCGGGTAAAAATCCCCCGATCGTGACGGTTGAAAAACAAGAACAAAAAATGCCGGACGAAAACGAATTTTTATCCGAGCGTTTTTTTTTTTTTGGTCCACTTTGTGCCGTCGGAGCACGGAGGGCGACGTCGGAGCTAAGATGGCGGACGTGGGAAATGGCGGCGCCTTCCGCGGGGGTCTCTCTCCGCTCGCGCGGCCGAGCGAAGCGGAAGTCTCCGCGGCTCCTCCACCGATAACGGCGCGGCGATCGCCGCACGGGATCGGTCCGATTTTTTTAGAATAAAATAAAAAATCGACCACCGAAAAGTTTTCCAACGGATCGCTTCCACCCAGGAGAAAAAAATAAAGAAGAGGAATTTCCGACGACGACGACAGCGGGAAAAAAGCGACGGAGGCTTAAGTTTTTATTTCGGAGCGCTACCCCCCCCCCCTTCCTCCGCCTTCTCTCGGTGAATTCTAGGGGGGGGGGGGGGGGCGGCTGCGTGGAATTCCAGGAGAGTGCGACACGCCGACGAGGGGCGCAGTAGGCAGCCATCGTCCCGTTGGACCGCGCGCTTCTGCCAATCCCGCGCACAAAACCGTCGCCCCGGCCGCGGCGCTCTCGCGCAGACCCGGGGAGCAAGGCGGCGGGGCCCAGGGGTAGCTACCCCGCTCGCCTGGCCCGCCAGCTCGCCAACCAGCTCGACCGCCCGCCCGCTCGCCCGCTCGTCCGCCCGCCCGCTGGCCCGCCCGTCCATCGCATTGGGCAAGACGGTGTTTGCGCGGGGGGCGCGCGGGCACACGCGGACGTCAACCGCCGCCCGCAAAAAACGAACGAGCGAGCGAGCGAACGAGTAAACGAACGAGCGAACAATCGAAAGAAAACCGCCAACCTCCGAACGGTGGGAGAAACCCCCCTTCCTTCCTTCCTTCGCCCGCCCGCCCGCCAGCCAAGCGAGCGGGAGAACGAGCCGACGGAACGAGCCAAAGGAGCAGCAACACCCCGCTGTGGCGGCGGGTGTGAGGCAGGTGGCGAAGGGGAACGGGCAGCCGCGCCGATCGCTTCTTGCGGGCGTCCGCTGGCTGGCGAGCGAGCGGGCGGGCGAGCCGGCGAGCGCCAGCTTCCCCGGACGGAGGCGGCGGCGGCGGCGGCGGCGGCGCCACCGGCAGAAGCGCGCGGTCAACACCGACGCGTTCGGGGCGATCGTTTTTTAAAACAAAACAAAAAAAAATTAACGCCCGCCGCTCCGAATTCCAACCACCCCCCACCCCCCACCGTTGCGTGTCCCGTCGAACAAAAATCCGGGTCGGCCTCATCGCTACCGGTCCCGTCTGGACGAGACAAACCTCCCCGCCCCCCACTCCTCCGTCTCCGTGCCCCCCGTTTTTCTTTTCTTTCTCTTTCCCCCTTTCCATCTCTCGTCGTTTTTTTTGTTTTTTTTTTAAAGCCCCCTGCTCGGTTATCCCCCCCCCGCCCGCTCCCGTCGTCCACGCGGCGCTGGCGGCGGCGCTGGCCGGTGGCGGCGGCGGCGGCGGCTCCCACGGCTCCCACGGCTCCCGCGGCCGCAGCGCCATCGTCGAGAAGCCGGAGCGGCGCCCGGGCTCCGTGGACGCCCTCCCATTTGCAAGGTAAAAGGAAAAAAAAGGGGGGGGGTGGGGTGGGTGGGGGGGGGGCGGCGACTGATTAATTAGTAAACGGCGCGGCGAGCGTGCCGGGGAATTTGTGTAATGAATCCGCTTCACCCAGCCCCACTCGGTTGGCTTACGCACGCGCGCGCGTGTCTGCGCTTGCGTGCGTGCGTGCCCGCGCGTACGTTAGTGTATTTATTGTTGTCTTGTGTTTTGTTGGCTTTTTTTAATGATGATGGGGGGGGGGGGGGGGCGTGCGGTTGATTGTCTCCTAAGTGCCGATGGAGCAGAGAGGGGAGGTGGCGGCGGGCGCCGGGAGGGAGCGGGAGAGGAGGGAGAGTCGCGCAGGTGGCACGGATAGCGCCCCATCTCGCCTCGCTCGCTCGCTCGCTCTCAGGCTTTGTTAATTAACGGCCGAGCACGAGAAGGAGTTGGTGTGGGGGGGGCGATTTCGTAGACGGTGGGGGGGGGGTGAGCGGGGGGTTTGCGAGGGAGGGAAATTACCACAATCGCGCGCATTATCTCCCTTTCTGTGGGCTTGTCGCGCCCTCTTTCTCTCATTCGAGCCCCCCCCCCACCGTCTCGCCCGCTCCGTCTCGCGACGAGGAAGCTCTCTTCACCTCGCGTCTCTAAAAACCTCTCTCTCTCTCGGCTCTCTTCTCCAGCTGCCTCGGTTAATTGTGTCTCGGTCGCTCCCCCCCCCCCCCCCCAGCTCGCACCGCCGCATGCAGATGAAGCCGTATGCAAATGAGCGTCTACTCTCCCGGCCGCCACCGCTACTCCCACCGGCGTCGTGGCGCCAAGTCGGCTCGACGTCCCCTCTACACACCCCCCCCCCTTCCACCTCTTTCTCACCACCATCACAATGCAAACGCCTGCCCCCCTCCACCCCCCCCCCCCGCCGCCCCCCCCCCCCCCGCCAGCCCCCACCGACTCCACCATCGCCAGCACCCCGCTGCAGCGGGGGCTCCTCCCACGCGCTTCATCTTCGTCGCTAATGACAACCGTAAACAAAATAATTATCTCCTTCGGGCCGCCATCCCCTCCGCGTCGATTTGCCGTCGGGCGCGGAGAGTTCTTTTTTTTCATTTTTTCCCCCCGTCGGCACTTGCCGCCGTCGGCGCGAGATCGTCGCGTTTCTTGCCGCCGCCGTTCTCTCGCGCGCCCGCCCGCCCGCTCGCTCGAGCGTCGTCCTCCCGCGCGCCATCTTTGAGCCGAGCGGCGGTGGGCAGTGGCATCGACGTAGTCCAGCGATGGCCGCCGCGGCGCTTCAAGGAATACTTCTTGGGGCCGTCGCGTCTCTCTCTTTCGGTTTCGTGAATTGCGCGCCCAGGCTCCGCCGAGTTTCTCGTCCGCTTCCTAATTGCTTTGTCGTTACCGAGGAACGGGTAGCCGCCGGTCTTTGGTACGCGGTGAACATGTTTTCTTTGAAATTGCCCGTCAAGTTGCGCCCCCCCCCCCGTCCCTTAAATGGAGGTGGCTCCGTAAATGAGTGAAAAATCCCCAAATTCATAAAATTACCGGCACTTTTTTTTGACGATTAAGCAAAGAAAATATTAGCGAGGGCTGCCGTTAATTTATTTTCATTTCATTCCCGCGCGAGTGCTCGCCTCACGTTGACGTATTTTCTTCCGACTCGTAAATTCACATTCCTCCGCACACCGCAAACAACAACAACAACAACAGCGAAACACGGGGCCACTTGACCTGCATAATTACATTTTTCTTTTTTACATAATCCATCTGGCATCTCGTTATTTTCTGTTCGCGGCTCGTCAACAAATCGTCATTCGTGACGTTAATTGTTGTAAACAATCCCTCCCGCCGGCTAAGTGTCCCCAACGCTCGCGCGAAAGCGTGGGGGTGAGGAAAGATTTTTTCGTCTTTGTTGAACGTTTGTTATTTTTTTGCCGTCGCGTTCTTCGCTTTTAAATTTCGTCGCCAAACTATCGGTTGGCCGATCGCGAAAGCGGCGCGCGCGTGGTTACCGACGGTCCTGCGACAATCGTGCCGTCGCGTTTTGGAGACGGCTCGAACCAAAAAAAAAAATCGAATCCTCGCGCAGAATTCACAGCGACCAAGATGGCCAGATGTTTTTTTATCGGAAAATGTTCGCTCCTAACTGCGCGTGGATAATCGCTGGAAAGACTTACACGGGATTTTCCCGGATTATTCGGACAGATGTTATTAGCGGCACACGTAAAAAAAAAAACATAATGGCATTATGTCGCGCGTTATATAATAGCATTTGCCTCCCCGTACTCACGGTAATTATATATATTTCCCGTCGATGGTTATTTTGAGAATAATACCCGACTCATTGTTTCGTGAGAATGATGTTTTCGTGGAGCGCCTTATGGATTACGCGTGCGCGGCCTGGGTGGCTCGGCCGTAGAGAGAGCAGCTCCCAACCACAGGCTTGCCAGGTCAACTCCGTGTTTGTTCAGGATCACAAGGGCTCCATCATCCCTCCCTGCAGAGGTGGGGGGGGGGTCGCTAAAATGAGCACCACTTTGTCGGGAAAGTCAACTGTGATCGCCTCCCCCCCCCCAGTAAGAATGTGGAATTTCCACCACTGGCTCAGGATGCCTGTAAACAAGGAACTGTGGACAAATGCAGTCGATGCCCAATTTGAGCAGAAAACCACTTGGGGTTTCCGTGGGGCGGTAAGATCTGGAACTCTTAGCGTGGTTTAACGGTAACGAGCTACTTTTGCGCACGTGGGGGCAGGGTCAAGGATGTCGACGCACCTGGGTGGCGAAAGGAAAAAAGGAGCGGGAAGAGAGATGAGAGAAAGAATGGGAAATGAGAGGAATGGGACTGGAAAAGGAACGGAGAAACGGGAGCAGAGGGGCTCGGGAGAGATGAGGCGGCGGCGGTGGTGGCGGTGGCGGCGGTGGTGGCGGTGGTGGCTGGGAAGCTGCATAACGGGCGGGTGTTTGAAGTGGTTGGGGTGGTGGTGGCGGTAGCTGTGTTGTTGGTGGTGGTGATGATAGTGGATGGGTAGCTGTTTAACGGGCGGGAGTTTGAAGTGGTTGGGGTGGCGGTGGCGGTAGCTGTGTTGTTGTTGGTGGTGGTGGTGATGATAGTGGATGGGTAGCTGTGTAACGGGCGGGTGGTTGAAGGGGTTGGGGTGGCGGTGGCGGTGGCTGTGTTGTTGTTGGTCGTGGTGGCCGGGAAGCTGTATATATATAACAGGAGGCGGACGAAACTGCATCAGCCCCTCAACGCCGCTGCTGTTCTCACAGTGGGCGGCGAGAAAGAGAAGGGGGGGGGGGAGGGGTTCAACAGTGGGCGTGGCCACACAGTGGTCACGTGACTCATGGGAGGCAAGACCTGATGCGGAGGTGAAGTGAACGTGTCGTAGTAAAAATCTTGCCACGTGAGCTTGTTGGGGGGCGGGGGGAGGGGGTGGCGAGGTGAATTTGAAAGGTGCGGGTTGAAAAAGATGAACGCCTGCGAAATGTTATGGTATTTTTTTTTTCTTCCTGGAGGCTCGCAACGCAACGGCCACGGTCCGTTCCGATCTCCCGGCGTGGCAGTCGAGACGTCTCGAATATTTCTGCCCACCCCGCCAGAGAGTAGACAGAGATGTTGTCGCGCGTGGTGGTGGTGGTGGTGAAGGGGTGGTGGTGGTGAAGGGGGTGGTGGTGGTGGTGGTGAAGGGGGTGGTGGTGGTGGTGGTGAAGGGGTGGGTGGTGGTGGTGGTGGTAGTGGTGGTTGTGGTGAAGGGGTGGTGGTGGTGAAGGGGTGGTGGTGGTGAAGGGGTTGGGGTGGTGGTGGTGGTGAAGTGGTGGTGGTGAAGGGGTGGTGGTGGTGAAGGGGTTGGGGGGGTGGTGGTGAAGGGGTGGGTGGTAGTGGTGGTGGTGAAGGGGTTGGGGTGGTGGTGGTGGTGGTGAAGGGGTGGTGGTGGTGGTGGTGAAGGGTGGTGGTGGTGGTGAAGGGGTTGGGGTGGTGGTGGTGGTGAAGGGGTGGTGGTGGTGGTGGTGAAGGGGTTGGGGTGGTGGTGGTGGTGGTGAAGGGGTGGTGGTGGTGAATGGGGTGGTGGTGAAGGGGTGGTGGTGGTGAAGGGGGGTGGTGGTGGTGGTGGTGAAGGGGTGGTGGTGGTGAAGGGGGGTGGTGGTGGTGGTGGTGAAGGGGTGGTGGTGGTTGTGGTGGTGGTGGTGGTGAAGGGGGTGGTGGTGGTGGTGAAGGGGTGGTGGTGGTGGTGGGGTAAAGTGTGAGTGCTCCCGCTCTCCGTTCTGAGACGAGATTTGTAACTTTGATCCTCGTATCGATCGTGCAATTTTAATTGAGGGACTACTGTGTGTTGTTGTGTTGGTGTGGTCTGGGAGTGTTGTTGTTGTGTTGGTGTGGTCTTGGAGTGTTGTTGTTGTTGTCTTGTTGTGGTCTGGGACTGTTGTTGTTGTGTTGGTGTGGTCTGGGACTGTTGTTGTTGTCTTGTGGTCTGAGACTGTTGTTGTTGATGTGTTGGTGTGATCTGGGACTGTTGTTGTTGTCTTGTTGTGATCTGGGACTGTTGTTGTTGTTGTCTTGGTGTAGTCTGAGACTGTTGTTGTTGTCTTGTTGTGGTCTGGGACTGTTGTTGTTGTCTTGTTGTGGTCTGGGACTGTTGTTGTCTTGTTGTGGTCTGGGACTGTTGTTGTTGTTGTCTTGTTGTGGTCTGGGACTGTTGTTGTTGTCTTGTTGTGGTCTGGGACTGTTGTTGTTGTTGTTGTTGTCTTGTTGTGGTCTGGGACTGTTGTTGTTGTCTTGGTGTGGTCTGGGACTGTTGTTGTTGTTGTTGTCTTGTTGTGGTCTGGGACTGTTGTTGTTGTCTTGTTGTGGTCTGGGACTGTTGTTGTTGTTGTTGTCTTGTTGTGGTCTGGGACTGTTGTTGTTGTTGTCTTGTTGTGGTCTGGGACTGTTGTTGTCTTGTTGTGGTCTGGGACTGTTGTTGTTGTTGTTGTCTTGTTGTGGTCTGGGACTGTTGTTGTTGTCTTGTTGTGGTCTGGGACTGT